TCTGCTTCCTGGCCATCATGATGTGAGCAGCTGTTCTCCACTCAACCGTTCTGCCATGCCCTTCCTACTTTGGAGCTAGCCAACTATTGATCAAATACTCTAAAAACTAAGCTGAAATAAACTTTTCCTCCTCTAATTCTATTTCCTCTAATCCACCTAAACTGTAGGTGACATGCATTTTATCCCAGTGATGAGAAAGTGACTAAGAATTATTCCTTTCATACTCTCTTAAATATTCTCCTAAATAAATAAAAACTTTTAAAACTCCTAAGTGTATTTTCATTGTAAAAGGTATTAAAATGCAGATAAATTGCAAATCCTCTTTGAATCTTGCTGCTTGCCTTCTGTCTACCTCTAAAACTTTTGGAAAAAATTCTTTGTTAAGATTACTAATGAGTTGCTGCAATTGCACTACCCAACTTGGGAGCCACTAGATTCATGTGGCTATTTAGTTGCATATGTATAATTATATTTGTATGAAATTAATATTGTTAGTACTGCTAGCCTTGTTTCAAATGCCCACATATTGAAACTGTATTGAACAGAGCAGATATCCACTACTGAGGAACATTCCATGCAATAGAAATGCCATAGTCAAACCCCGAAAGAGAGTGTGAGGTGGGCAGAATAATGTCCCCCAATGTTTTCTATGTGCTAAACTTTAGAAACTGAAAATGCAACCCTGCATTGTAAAAATAACAACAAAAAGCACTCTAGAGACGCAATTAAGTAAGGACCTTGTGATTTCCTTGGATTGTCTGAAGGGGCCCCATGGAATAAAAGTAATTCCTAAGGGAAGGAAGCAGAAAGGTCACAGGCAGAAGGAGAAGATGTCATGATGAAAACAGGAGTTACAGTAAGTTCTTTGAAGGTGGAGGGAGAGGCCGTAAGGGGAAGAATGCAAGTGATCATTAGAAGTTGAAAAAGCTAAAGAAAAATCTCTCCTATGTCCTCCAGAAGAAATACAGCTGGCTAAAACCTTGATTTTAGGACTTGTGATTTTCAGAACTTGTAAGATGATAACTATGTTATTTTAAGACATTAATTCTGTGGTATTATGCTAGATTAGCAATAGAAAGCTAATAGATGTGATAGTGGGTATTTCTATTTTTCTCTTAATGAATATTTGTTTCAAATTATTTTTACTATAAGAGTTTTCTTTCTTTTTTTCTCTTTCTTTCTTTCTTTCTTTTTTTGTATCAGGAATCAAATTCAGGACCTTGCACTTGACAGGTAGGCACTTAAGCCACTGAGCTATATTTCTGGCTGTGTAAGAGTTTTCTGTATGCACAAGCAAATAATAGATGGTGAAATGTGTTACAAAGAAAAACCAGCCACAGAGAGGGCCAGAAAGAGATATGTTCAGCTTTTGTTGATAATTGTTTAACAGCTTCCTTTCATAAAAATACAGTAAAATATGTGCTTTGTAGCATTTGCTAATTTCCTTGGTGTACATGCTCATCCCAAGACCACATCCCACAACCAGTGTAATATCACAGAGCTAGGAAGTGGTATTTGCTTCTACTTATGCCCAGGTGTGCGTGCATATGTGTATTTCTAAGCATAAATGGGGTTACATGTGTAGAGTTTGTATTTTAAGTAGGGTTTCTCTCTGATACTTATCAGAGTAGAAATCTGAAAGAAATGAAGTAACCACCTGTGCAGATAAGTGGGGAAAAAGATTCGTGGAAGAGGGACTAGTGAGGGCAAATATCTGATGGAGGATTGTCTTTTAGTGCTTTTGATGTACTTCAGATGTTTCTGAGGGCCATTGTGTTGGTCTGTTTGGGCTACAGTAACACACTGGGTGGCTTATAAACAATAGAAAATCATTTCTCAGAGTTCTTGAGGCTAAGAAATCTAATATCAATAAGTTTGTCAGGGGTAGTTGTATTCTGTTCAGCACCTTCCCTCTGATTCACATATGCTGCCTCCGGCTGTATCCTCACATGCTGGAAAAGTGAAGACTGTCTTTTGAGACCTTTTTAAAAACAAAGGATATTAATCCAATTCATGGGAACCTGAAGGAGTATTCATCTCAGAAATGCCCACCCTCCAATACCAGCATATTGCTGATTCGGTTTCAGCACATTCATGTTGGGAGGACACAAGCATCAGCGCTACAGCTGATGTCAAGGAGGCTAATACAGCTGAAGGGGATGATTTGCTCAGTTGTAGGAAACAAGATCAGAGAGTCAATTACGTGTTTGTGCATTCACTTGTGAGGGCAATAAGCCCTGATAGGTGTAGTTGTAAAGATTAACTTGATGGCCGTCTGGTTGAGAGAAAGCAAAATTTGTCAGCCTAAGAAATCACATTGGACAAGCAGTGGTTTCTCTCATTGACATAGGTCTGTCAATCTGAAGTTCAAATTAAAAAAATACTGTTTGAAACACTTTGCTTGTTTATAAAACCCCAGATGGGACAGCTTCCAATTCTGGGACTTCTTCTGACTTGCCCTTTACTTAAAATAATTATTTTACTGATAATCCTGTCGCTATAGGACTGTAGCAACTAATCACACATAGCTTAATGTATGGACAGAGAGCTTCCACAATCTAAATTTGTTCAAAAATGTGTGTAACTGTAATAACCAATCAAAAATTGTTCAAAACAAGTTACTTTCCCTCACCCAATTATTTCTCTTTTCCCCTTTATAAATGTAATTGTCCTCCTCTTGGACAAAACATGTTTAATTTGTAGTTGAACATATGTCTCTTGATTTGTAAATATGTTACTTAAATGGTCTTTGATTTTAACGTTGTTTATGATTTCTTGGTTTACACAGGTGATTGTAAGAACTTTTCTTTAGATGGGTGGAAAGCGATTGGAGTCATTTGAGTGGGAACAGTGATATAAGCTAGCTAAATATGGCTTGTGTGTGGAAAATAAATAGAAATAGGCTGAGAAAGAGATGGTGTTGCAATAATCCAAGTGAAAAATGACAGTGGCTTGGACAGGAGCAATACAGCGAGAGTGTGAAATGTGATCAGATAGTGGTAAGGAGAGGTGAACTGTTTGCTGGAAGACTAAATGAGAAGGGTGAGAAAGAGAGGAGCCAAAGTTGAGACCAAGATTTGGGCTTGAGCAGTTGAAGGATGGAAGTGGCGTCAGCTGTGAGTGGGAAGAGGGTGAGTGGAATGGGCTGAGAACACGGGGAAGATCAAGGGCTAATTCTGGTCATGTCACATTCAAGATGATGTTCGGAGTTTTAGCCCGGTGGAAAACTGACTCTGCATGTCTGAAATTTAAGAGTGAAAATAAGCAGTGATTTTTTTTGCTTTTAAAGCCATATGAGATGAGATCACACACAGAATAAAAATAGAGAAGATATGTGAGGCCTGAGTCATGGAGTATTTAAGATTTAGAGACCAAAGAGACAAGAAGGAATCAGACAGAGAATTGTATCCATTTAAAGAAAATGTTTTCTTGGAGGAAAGAATTATGAAACTTTACAAATACTTCTGGCTGGTCAAATGAGCTAGAGCCTGAGAAATGATCACTGCTTTAAAAGTTTTGTATTAGTGGTTGTTTGTATCAAAGAAATTTTGGTGAAGAGAAATGTAGCAAAGTGTAACTCAAGAGAGAATGGGAGAGAGTAACTGTGATATTGAATTTAGTCACCTGTTTCTAGCTGTAAAATGGAAACAGCTAAAAATAGCGTTCAGTAAAGATTTTCAAAAGACTCAACCTATAGTATGTATATATGATGGGGGGAAATTCACCAAGAAGGAATAATCATGAAGCAAAAGAAAAGGGAGACCTTCTGACAAACGTCCTTTAAAAAAGGGCGAACACACAGGTGGAGTGGCTACCATGTCATTCACTGGAACACGTGGAAATATGGTGTGTAGATGTGGTAGTGAAAGTGTAAAAAATCTCTAAGGGTTTCTTCAATTTTGCTAGTGAAGCAATATCATCAGGTGAGAGTGGAGATGGGGAAGAAAGTGGAGGAAAATGGATTGCGTAAATATTTAAGAGGGTGGATGAATACAACGCCTCAGCAAGTACCAGAGAATTGCAGCAATACTTAGAGTTCAATTGTGTGGTCCTGAATTTAAACTGAGATAAAACACAGAACTATGTATGTGGTTTTCTTAAACCAATATTAGTGAACAGACACACACTTAGAATAGTTTGAGAATTTAACTGGCAGAGTTGAGGTGTGTCTGATGAGTGGGCAAAAAAATGAAAGGGGAAAATACAAGGTGATAGTACAATGACATACAAAGAAGATAAGGCATAGAGTGAGAAGGGTGTGGCAAGTGCACTTCGATGTAGTGAATTAGAAATCTGGAGCGGTAACCTGCAGCATCATGTCTCCTGGGTGGTTCTGAGGCTGACTGAAGTTTGAGAATCAGTGTTATGGTCACCCAGAAGATGGAGAAGTTAACTTCTTAGGACATAAGACAGGCTTCAATGAATTAGGATTAAACTACACCAGAAAGTTATAGGGCCTAAACTTCAGTGAGAGAAGCCTTAAACTTAAAGGGAGCAAAGTTTGTAAAAAAAAAAAAAAAAAAAAAAAGTTAAAAACTTGGAAAAAGCTAAACTCAATATGTAAAAGCGTAAAGTGTTAGCTGTTAATACAAGAAAATCAGACATTGGTAGGAAGGTCCTGGCTGTTAAGGAGTCCTGATACAACAATCGAAGTTTTAAAATCTTTACTAGTACATGTTGCAGTATACAATGCTTACATTCCTCGTGGGGAGTTGGTACATGTACATAACACATCTTAGTTCTTTTTAATATCTCTTTCCTTTTTCTCAGGCCCCACACCCCCATTGCTTAGCCCACTTTCCATTTGTAAAAGATCTCTCCCTGTGTCCTATGACTCATCTTTTATTTTGTGTTTTAATGAATTAACAATTTGAGCTTTTCATATAAGAGAAACCATGTGATATCTAAGCTTGTATGTCTGGTTTACTTCACCTAACAGTATGGTCTCAAGATGCATCCATTTTCTTATAAATGACTGAAGTTTATCTTCATAGCAGAGTAATACTCCCTTGTGTGTAAATACCACATTTACTTTGTGTAGTCCTCTGTTGACGGATATATAGGCCTCTTCCAAAGTACAGGGATAATGAGTTATACTGCTATAAACACTTTAGTCCATTGATATTAGGCTCAGTATTGCAGTGAGAACTTGGAGAGCAAATGAAGCTGCCCAGGCTCAGGAACTCACACATTTCCCCATCACCTCAGGGATCCTAGGAGAAACTGCTCCATGCAGCAGTCACTGCACAGAACTATAGGTAGCCTCAGCCTCTCCATGACGTCAGGAAGGACATGGCCCCGCCCACCGCGACGTCAATCATCCGCAGCCAGGCGCTTCCGGCGGCGGGGTCCGCGCGGTGACGTCACTTCCGGGCGCCGACACGCAGCGTTGGCGGCGGGTTCAAACGCCGGAGCTGTAGTCTCGGAGACAGAAGAAGCGGTGCCCGGCCTGGGGCGTGCTTCCCGCCCGAGCTTCCCGCCCGAGCTTCCCGCCCGAGCTCCCCTGAGCTCCTGCGCCGCTCCGAGGGTCTCAGAAGCCGAGGAGGCGGGTGCCCGAGGCGGGATGGCGCTCTCGTCCACCGTCTCCCAGAGGAAGCAGATAAAGCGCAAGGCTCCCCGCGGCTTCCTCAAGCGCGTCTTCAAGCGACAGAAGCCGCACCTTCGCCTGGAGACGCGCGGCGACGTCCTGGTGAGCGCGGCGCCCCGGGCCGGGAGCGGCAGGGCCGCACCCGCCTTGCCCCTTCGCCCCGGCTCCGGCCGGGCACTTCCGGCGGCGGGGTGGCGCTGCCCCTCCCTGCTAGTCCGCGCGCGGTCCTGTGGCTCAGGGCCGGGACCCGGAAGGCGGAAGTCGGGAGCTTCGCTAGAAAGACGGTAGCAACATCCGCTCAGTGACCAAAGTGTGCCCAGAACCCTGAGAGGCCCGGAATATCCCGAACGGAGCACAGTCTGGTGTGGAGATTAGTGTGCTTGCTGAGGGTATGCGCGGTGCACCTTCTGAAAAGTAGAGTTTTGCAGTTCAACCTGGGTCGTTCTTAAACTTCTTGCCTCTTCAGTGCGTTGAGTGAACGCACTGACCCGTGTGCTTTATTTATGCTGCTCTCTTAAAGAACTGATCCTGCTGGACGCACAGTAGAATACCTGTTAGCTACAAAAGCCATTGACTTGTAATACCGGAAGCATAATGCTCTCTTAATAAAAATCCCCAGTCAAACCAACATGCGATGCAGAATTTGTGTGTTGGATGCCTATAATACATATTTCTGTAATGGAAACAATGTTGAGAAGAGTAGCTATAGTTTTTGCTGTTCATATACATCGAGGAAGGAAAACTACAACTCAGGGTACTATATGCTGTGATAGGAAGCTCAGGGTGCTGTTGATCTATGTATACTTTCCTTCTGGTAGGTTGGGCTTCTCAGGGAAGTCTGCAAACCAGAGGATTTCTGGAGGCAAAGATACATTGGAATTCTGCAAGTACTTTAGAAGACACAGTGTAGAACTGGGGGTTGAGGTAGGCAGGAGATGAAACTGGAAAGTCTAGTCAAGTGGATTTTAGTGAGAAGGAATATAGGCTTTATATCCTAAGGACATCTGGAAGCTATTTATCTTTTAAAATAGAACGTATGGATTAACCGATGAAATTGTGCCATATTATGGAATATTTTTGCAATAAAAAGTGGAATATTACTGGAAGTGTGTAAAAAATTGAATGACATGTTGTAATGTAAAGAATAAGAATTGTATTGCTTTACCTCAGAGTATTTGTGAGAATTAAGCAGGAAAGTTGAACAGAAAAGTGTATCAGAGTATCTTTTACAGGTTCATCATCTTAATAAATTTAAATTCCTAAACTCTTTATTTTCCTCAGATTATCATTAGCGCACTCTTAAATATGAATCTATTAAAGATTGCTGCATAATGTAAAGCATTTGAAATATTACCTAACATTTAGTAAGTATTGTTTGCAGTACATCAGATAGTACTATTGTGTATGAATTGTTTTAGCTGTAAAGATCAGGTACTGCTTATAATACAAATAGTGAAAGAAAATATGTATTGAAGTTACTGTTTAACAAATGGAAGGAGGACCAAGAGTCGAAGGTGGAGCGGATTGTAAGCGTACAGGACATGAAAAGATTTAAAATACTTCCTATATATGTACCAGCTACCCTCAGTGAATGTAATCTTTACATGTTGTAAACATGACCTAAAAATAATAATGAAAATGCAGAAAAGGGATCTAGAGACGGAAAGAAGGAGGTGGTGGGAAGGGGAATAAAAATCAAGATATATTCAGTACATGTACCCACTCCCTAAGATTAATGTAAACGTGTACTCCAAACATGCACAAATAAAAGATAGAAAATAAAGATACTATCTAACTGGATATAAGCTGATAGTACCCTCAAGCACCTAGCTGAAGCAGGGTGGGGAAGATAGGAGCAGTAATTAAGGGAGCACTGCATGTGATTGCAGGAGGGTTGGGATGTAAGACTGCAGCTCACTTTACGTTATCTCTTGCTTGCACTGTGTGCATCTTAACTTTTTTAAGTTATGTGTGTGTAGATCGATAAGCACTTTTTTTGTTGTTTGGTTGTCAATTTTGGGTAAAATACCTTTAGCCAAAATGTGTATGACATATATCTCATTTTCTAATAAGATATATGTCATTTTCTAATATATATAGGATGTATGCATTAGACAGTTTATATACTATACCATATTGTATGATCTCAAGACATGTGGTTTGGATATACATAAAGTTTTTTTATGAGAATATGTAAGAAATGCTACCGTGGTTGACTAGAGAATGATGTGGAAGAGGGACTAATTTTTGAAGCCTACCCCTTTGTACATTGTTTTATATTTTTATTTGGAAGTCATAGACTCACAAGTTCTGAAAATAGTACAGAGGTCCCATGTATCCTTTGCCCAGCTTCCCACAATGCTAGTAGCTTACAAAACTATAGTCCTGTATTAATCTATTTAAAGCAAAATTTTTAAAAAGGCTTAAAGATTATTAATAGTACATTTGACATGATGATAGTTCACAGGTAGTAAGTAATGATAAGTATCAATTTGAAGGTCCATATACTTTCAAATTCAGCATTCTTTAACATTTTTAATTAATATTTCAGTTTTGGGAGGGTGGTACTGGGGCTTTGCACTGAGCTAAATCTCCAGCTCTTTTTAGTTATTTTTATTTTGAGACAGTGTCCTGCTAAGTTGCCCTGACTAATCTTGAACTTATGATCCTCATATCTCAGCTTCTCAGAGTGCCGGATTTACAGACCTGTGCTACCATGCCAGGCGTTGGATAGATATTTTGACTCTGGTTGAAGGGGATGGAGAAGTAGAGGGAGGAGGACGGGAGAAAAAGGGAAGGAATATAAAAAAAATTAAGATGTGTTACGTACACACACCAGCCCCCCATGGTGAATGTAATCATTATGTACTACAAACATGTAATAATAATTTAAGTTAAAAAATCTTGGCTCTCAGGGTGTAGAATAAGATGTAGTTGTTATATTTTAACATATTTTGAAATTTAAATTACATGATAAATTTAAGTCATTGTTTGAAAACGTTAGTGTTTGAATTTAAAAATCTGTTTGCATTTTCTCTTAAAGATTCATTTAAACTGTTTACTGTTTATTCATCGGTTGGCTGAAGAAGCCAGGATAAATGCTTGTGAGGATAAGTGTGGAATCATTAAGAAGGATCATGTATTGGCTGCAGCAAAGGTACAACTGGAATTTCTTTCCTTGAGCAAGAATTAACTTTAAAAATACTATGAAGGTCATCACCTCTGCCTGATTCTGATATCTCATTCAGCTTTGTTGATTGAGTTGGTACTTGGCTTTTCATGTTGATGAGTTTTAATGAAAGGATTTAGATGTTTCCCAGTATGTACAATATAGAGATTTCTAACTGCAAGATTAATTGCTACTGCTTTATTACTCTTTAGGGGAAAATACCTTTCTGATTGCTGAGCAGTTTTATAACATTGAAATTGGTCAAAATTTTCTTCATCATCATTTTAAGTTACCCTAATTACCTGATTGAGTTCCTAGCTTTGCTTTGAGGTCTGAGTGACTTATGAATGAAATCGCTTATAAACAGAAAAGTTGTTTTTACTGGTATTTCTATTATAATGGAAAAATGTACCAGGTAGGGCAGTTTTCCAAATAGATTTCTGAAGAATTATTTCCAAAAGATGTTAGTAGATTTCCTTCTTAGAAGCTTTTGTGCTTAGATAAATGTAAATAATCTAAAATACCATAATAACTCCTTTATCAGTCATAGTGCTATTATTTATATGTAGAGCTGGTTTCCACGAGAATATTCAAGACTTGCAGTCATGGTCGAGTATGGGATGATGTAGAAGAAATTTGTCTTTGTCAGACTTTTTCTTTGTTCACATTTTAGAAGATGTTTATTTCAAATTATAGACCAATAAAATATTAAAAACTATAGTTATATAAATTTAAGAAAAATATACTAGGAAGGAAACTTGCTGAATTCTGCTCAACTGAGCATTTTGTAAGTTCATTTGAATATATAATCAGCATTTTGTGAATTCGTTTGAGTACATAATACGTTTTTTTGCAGTACCTGTCATAATGTTTTGCAGGACAGCGAAGTACTGGGCTAGGTAGTAGACCTGTGTAATGCCGTATGTGGGAAGCATAGGAATGGATGTGCCTTGACAATTTTTAGGCACTTTTAAATTCTCCTGTAATTATAAACATTCTAAATATTAAAATAAAAATAAGTATTTTTTTCTGAAATTAAAATAAGGATTAAGACCCTAAGTAGTATCTGTATGTTTTAAATTTAGGATTTGTTTATAAATATATATATATACTTACCTAAAGTAATAGCCATGTTCTTTTACAAAAATTTTGGGGTATTCTAGCCTGATTTTCTGGGCCTGCATACAACTGAAGATCCCCTTTTGTCTTATTTCTGCCACCAGTTGTATGTTTTGAAAATTGTCTACTTAACAAGGTATGCAGCAAAAGATAAACAGTCTTGATCTCCAGTTGATATAATTGTAACCCTAATATGAGAAATTTTATGTTGCAGTGGGTTTATACTACTTTGTAATTGTGAAATGCTTGATTTATAGTAGGCTTTTGGGTTTTAGAATATTCTTTAACGTTTTGGATAACTAATTGTCCAAAATCCTCAAGTTTCAAACCATTATCCTGGATATTTTCGAATTGCTGTTGAAGAGATTAATGACTAGAGGTGGGTATAAAACCAGATTTTGAGAATCTAGGTATGTTTAATATTCATTAAGAGAAGAAGCCCATTTAGAGAAAATTTAAATCATTTATAATGCAAAGGATTCACTAATTCTTTCCAAATTAGCTTTGATATATTTAGATGTGCATATTATATACAGAAAGCTATTTAACTTTTCTTAAGTTAGAACCAGTTTTGTTTCCTGCTGGTGTAATATGAATCTCTATTCCTCCTCCCCCACAGGTAATTCTAAAGAAGAGCAGAGGTTAGAAGTCAAAGAACAACTCCTTGAATATTATATGATGGCTTATTGTAGTTGGTAACATGTTGTAAAAACACTTTTTATGTATTAATTTATATTGTGGATTATTAAAATTTTGGCTGGACAAAGAATGTGTATTTTTTTGCTAGCATTGAAATGTCTCAAATGACACATAGGACTGTTTTACTGTCTTACTATTTTTAGGAATTACGTTTTTTTTTTTTTGGTTTTTCTCCGGTACCGGGAACCGAACTCACGACCTTGCGCTTGCCAGGCAGGCGCTTTGCCGCTGAGCTAAATCCCCAGCCCCAGGAATTACGTTTTGTTCTTTTTGAATTGCCCTTATTTCAGTTTATTTGTTTTGTTGCTCTTGCAAATATTTTAAATATCAAAAATAAAATCTTACTATATTAAATAACTTGAAGAGATGTATTTTTTAGAATTAAGTTGTAGGATTAGAGTTAGCCATAAATATGCCATGAATTTAATTTATAAAGAAAGACAACATGCAGTCAAATCTAGGTACACACCCAGAACTCTGCTAAACTAATTGGGCAGGTGTTTTATATTCAGGCTGATACCACAGTTAATGATCACAGCATTTATACACGAAAAGGTGTGTGGAAACAAAATTGGTCTTAGTAATGACTCATCCCTCCCCCATATCTGGTAGATTCCAATACTGCAGACCCTGGAAAGAAGGTATTCATTCAGAAATTTAAAAATGTAAGGAACTTTTAAGTAATTATATGGCAACTAATTATATAACCTTGAAGAATGGATAAATTTATAGAAACAAGCTACCAAGAGTGAGTCATGAAGAAACAGAAAATCTAAACACGTGTAAATCAGGAGACTGAGTCATCAGAAATACCTTAACAGGAAAAACCCACACTGGACAGCTTCAAGGGTGAATTCTACCAAATTTTTAAAGAATGCCAATCTTAAATGCTTCAAAAAATGGAAGCAGGCACTCATTCTGTAAGGTTTCAATTTCTCTCTATATAAAATTCTTATGTAAAGTAAATGAATTCTACTATTACTTTTAACTCTTCAAAAATAACACTTTTTCAAGAAAGCTAACATGAAGTATGTCCTATTGTTTGAGTGTATCAGAACGCTAATTCATACTGTCTTAAGTTCAGGAACTACAATGTGACTGTAGCACTTCCAACCCCCCTAATAGCTTTAATGTTCTGTATATGGGAGTACAACACTGAGTGAGTCAGGCATGGTGGTGCACACCTGTAATAGCTGCGCAGGAGGCTGAAGCCATAGGATTGCGAATTGAAGGTCAGCCTAAGCAACATTGCAAGATCTTGTCTCAGAAAATAAAAAGGGCTGGCTTGGATTATAGCTTTGTGATGGAGTGCTTGGTTTGGGTTTAATCCTTAGCATCAAAATGAAAAAACAAATGAAAGAATAAGAGAAGCCATCTTATTGATGTCTTAAATCTTGGTTAGATTTATTTTTTTCTTACACCTCCTCTTCACTTGAAAAATTTCCCACTATTGTAATTTTCCTTAAAAAGTGCTCATACAGAAAACAAGCTTCTGAGAGTTTGGATTTGAACTGCAATCACTGATTTGTTTAAAGCTGTGTATAAGAAGAGACAAATTGCTAGAAGACAAGTTGTTTCAAAGGTATTTCTTGAATGAAGTTGGGATGGTTTTGTCATATATACTTAAATTTTATCTCAGAGACATAGTTAACATAGAAATATCCTTTGAAAGAAGAATTGCCTAGGTCTGCTAAGTCTCACTTCGGAGATTATTTGTAGATGTAACGATGAGCATAATCTCTGCTTGTTGAGTGAACAGTAGCCCTGCCGAAGAGACGGTGTGCTGGCAAGTTTGTGAGAACCTGATATTTGCATGTTGAGTTCCTGACAGCAAGGCGACCCACTCAGGAAATGGTTTGTGTTCAGCTTGGAGGGATTTCATCAACTGACTGGCTGTGATGGGAGGAAGAATCAGAGGCCGTAAACCGCAGTCTGTGTACTATATTTGGCCTGCAGATAATTTTATTTAGTCCACATATGGTTTTTGTTTTTTAATAAATTAACTGATTACATTTAAAAATTAAATTTCACATACAAGTTTAATTTCTGGCTTCCTTTGAAAAATTGGACACTGACAATAACACATCACAGTCAGTTGGGCCTAAATAGTAGCCTCTCTCTTTAAATGGTAACTTCTCTCATATTCTTTGATTCACTTCACTTAGGTCTGTTTTACTTTTGTTAACTACAGGACTTCATTACACATTTGAGTCCATAGTCCATTTGAAAACTTAAAATCGGTAATTTCTCTTGAAATTTCTGGTCAGTTTTAGCAACACACCAAAACTAGACAGTTTTCATGAAAACAAGGCTGGAAAAAATGCAATAGTCTTGAGATCTGAGTGATGTTAAATTACTGATAGTTCTCAATTTTCAAATAGAGCCACTGACTGTTGGCATAAATGAACTCAGATCATCTGGCCAAATACTTTAAATATTGTAACTTGGGTGTCAGACATCACTAAAATGAAATTGTGAGCTAATTATGGACTCTTAGGAATTTGTGAGCTGAGAGTAACCCCTAGCTAGAATACCACAATATAAAGAAAAACAATAAATATTATCTATGTGTAAAAATGTGTTTATGATATAAGGTTGTATTACAGGCTAGTTTATGAATTTTAACAACCGGTAAGATAAGAGGAAGATTTTTGTGTTTTTAGACAGTGTGGGTTTTCCCTCCATATTTCGTGTCCTGAGACTCCTCAGTTGTGAAGTCCAGATTTTCAACTAAGCAGTTTATTCATAGTGGGTTTTAAATTAAGTTTTATCTCTAAGATTTGAGAGTTAAGGCTGCCAAGATTTAAATGAAGAGGAAAAACATCTTTATCCCTATTTATATTAAAGTGTAAAACTAGAAATAAAGCATGATTACTAAAAATAATTTGTTTGAAAATAAAGTTAGAATTGAGTCTGCTATAATTTTCTTTATATTTACCATGCAGGGAAAAATGTTGGATTCTGACATGTATGCTATAGTTTTATTTTATTAGTATCCTAAGTTCATATTAGAAATAATTTTGAAAATAATTTTTTCTTTTATAAAGTTTTGACCAGTATTTTAAAAAATATCTTCCTCATGATATAAAGAGAATACATATCTTTCATTAGCCCCTGTATAAAGAGAGTTTGATTAATGAAATAGTGTAAATTTTAAGACTGTAAAGAATTTTCAGGTATTTTAGGAAACCTATTGAAATTTTAGTTGTAAGTTAAACCATTAAATTTTCTATTTTAAGATTGTTACATAATTAAATTTACTATTGACAACAAAATTTTCGATGATGTGTGTATTTTTGGTCAATTTAAATTCATGTCAATCAAATTTTTAATGGCCATATTTGTATAGGTACTTTTAAGATCTATTAAGACCCTTATGAGTATCTTGTGAATAGTTTCTCAATTTTTAAATGTATATGCTGCATTTTGTCAGGCATATTTATTTAGCTCTGGCTAAATAACTTCCATGCCAAACATGATAGTAAAATGAAAGATAGGTAATATTTCTGTCCTTAAGAAACTTACAGGGGCTGGGGATTTAGCTCAGCAGCACAGCGCCTGCCTGTCAAGCGCAAGGTCGTGAATTCGATTCCTGGTACCAGAGGAAAAAAAAAAAAGAAACTTACCGCATAATCATTTGAAAATATTAACTGTAGAATTTTCTTAAATGTTTGAAAATGAAAAATTTAACAGATCCCTCAAGATCATAGTAATCAGAGCGATATAACATAAAAGATTTGGGTCGGAAGTCTTCCTAATATAATTGGGAGGAACAAGTTTAAAATTTGTGGGAAAGTAAAATGTGAGTTGAAGATTGTCAGGAAACATGTAGGAAATAATACAGTAAGACAAGAAGCACACACCATAAAAGTAACTGAGCATTAGTGAGAAAGATCTATTAAAGTTGAAGAGATTGTCACAAAGAACTTCAAACGGTGTGAGACTTGAAACTCTAGGTATTTAGATTTAGTGTAGGATCCAGGAGGTAATGAAAGGTTTTAGGGCTGTTCATGAAGAAAACGATCTCGTGAAGATTATTTTAGTAACCAGGAGTTGGTAAGGAAATAGTAGATTTCAGGTTTTTTTCTCATACTTGGACAAAGGCAGGCCAATGAAGCAAGCCTGTTATTTGAATACAGGAGAAATAAAAAGACAGGTATAGTCATGGCTTGGGAGTTTTGCTTTCTAGATAACTAAGCTTTGTGGAGTTCAGGTTTGTGGCAAGGTATCTAAGGTATATGACTGAGTTTAGCGGGGGCTGGGGATTTAGTTCAGCAGCACAGCGCCTGCCTGGCAAGCGCAAAGTCATGAGTTCGATTCCCGGTACCCGAAAAAAGCCAAAACCAAAAAAAAAAAAAAAAAAAAAGATTGAGTTTAGGAACTTACCATACATATCTCCTGTGAACAAATAAGTTTTGGCCTTACAGTAGTTATGTATTGTATGAAATAAAAGTTTTGAATGAAAAAAGGCAATCAAAATTGTCTCTACTTTGTAATACAAATAACAGAATCAGTTCCAGGTGTGTATATAATAAGTACTTCTATTTTTCTTTCAGTACCATTGTCTATTACGTGCCATATCAATAATTTGACATGAGGAAATCCAGTGAAGTGTAAGTGTTTTTAACTTTCAAGTTCTTTTATATTAGTCTAGGTACGAAGTTCCTGTCAAATTTACATTGTCATTATTTCTGTGCTTGTAAATTAGTTTTTTACAAGACACTCCTACTTACTTGTAGAAATAACATTTCTGCTGCCTAAGCCTTCTTTACTCCCCACATTCTTCAACTATTAATTTTATGTCACTTGTATAATTCATTCATTCATTCATTCATTTGTCCAGATTATTCATTGGGTTCCACCAATGAGCTAGGCCCTGTCAAAACGACGTTTGGACAACAATCTCCAATACGACAAGTCAACCTTCAGGAGATCTGGAGGAAGAGAGTTCTGACAATGAGCACAAGGACCCTGAAAGAGAAAAGAGAACTGCAGGTGTCCATAGATCTGAAAGGAAGTCAGCCTTGTGGTGTCATGCTGAAGAAAAACTGAATCAGACCTGATAACATG